TTCTACTTCATTTTCCAAAGATTTAGGATATGGTGGATCTATTTATTTAGATGGAACTAAAGCAGAAACTCTCAAGTTATCAATCTCTTAATTAATTATTAATAATATTAATGCTAAGGAAGAGGGAGGATTCATTTACATTTAATCAGATTCTCCTATGATTTCTATTTCAATTTATCATTTGGATATTAAAAATATATATTCTAAACTTGGATCTTTCATATATGTTTTACTTTCTAATGTGGCTACAAAATAACAAATAATGAAATTAGATTCCATTTTTATTCAAAATACTTTAGAGGGATTTAAGAATTATTTAAATTAATATACTCAACTATCAAACTAAGATTAATTAAGTTTAATTAATAATAGAGCCTTATTTTATTTTGATTAAGTTATTAATTTAATCATTTAAAATGTAGAAATTGATTATTTACTAATGGAATCTGCAATTATAATGAGAAATGCTTAAATAGTTTCTATTTAAAATTTTAAAGTTATAAATAGTCTAATAAATGATTGTCTACTAAGATTGTATCCAAATTTATGTATATATTAATAATGATTTATTTTTAGATGAATCTAATAAAATTTAAATAAATAATCTAGAAGTTTAGAATATCTCAATTGTTTTATAACTAAAGAATTACAATTGTGAATAATCAACAGTAATATATTAAAACATATACTTTTAATGTATTACTAATGATTAAAAGAAGACTGCACCACTCATTTTGCAATAAAAGCCTAAAAATTGGTAGAATTCTTATGGAGATTGTATTATATCTTAAATTTAAGAAAAATATCAATCAGAAAATAATTTAGTTGTTGATATTCAAAATTCTGGATTGATCTTATTCTTAGATCTTACAGATTAAACTTAACTTAAATTAAATAACCTTATTTTTTCATAAATAAATTGCAAATTTTGTTCAAATGGATTGATTTAATATTCTTTTGTGAGGGTTGAGGATAATTTACTAAAATAATAGATTTCTAGTCTTAAAATTATTAATTCTCAATGTGGATTATCTGGTTGTTTTTAAATCAAAAAAGTAAATAATACTAATAGTAGATTGCTAACATAAACAGAAGTGAATATTTAATAAATGAACTTAGAAGTGATTATAGACAATTATATTTGTCAATATAATATAGCTAATAATGGAACCTGTTTATTTATAGAGAATGTTAAAGTTTTGATACATAATTCTATTTTTTAATATAATAAAGCATCTGAAACTGGAGGTGCCATATTTGTAAAAAATAAAAAAGATATCCTGATTACAAGTAGTGTGATATCTCATAATTCAGCTTTTATAGGAGGAGGAATATATTTAATTGATTAATAAGATATGGATTATTTTAATCTAAATACAATTGTGAATAATAACTAAGCTTAGTTTTTTGGATAGAATATAATTTCTGTTCCTCAATAGTTGACTATTACTTTATAAAATGAAAATTCTAAATTAAGCACGAAATCAATCATAATATCTTAAGATCTATTGATATAATAGGTTATTATTTAATAGAATAATTCTGCCTAACAATAGTATCTTTACTTACCTAGTGGTTAATAAATTTCTCAATATGAATTTTTCTCTAAAGTTAATCGTACTTATACTGCTTCTAATTCAAAATTCCGTCTAATTGCATTAGGCAAGGATAATAGTATAATTAAAAATCTAATAAATTCATATTGCAATATTGATAGTAGAAAAATAAATACATCAAATTATGATGATGAATAAATTCCTTTTAGTAACAAATTTACAAATTTTGATAGTGTCTATTTTAATGAATAAACATAAGATTATAATTTAGATGATATGATTGTATATTTTGATAATGAACTACCCTCTGAAATTGTATTATAATTGTAATTCAATTGCAATTCTGTTGTTGTTCCTATTTATAATTAATAATATCCTTATAATCTATTAAGCACACATTCAAATTATAAATTAAGACTCAATATCAAAACATTACCTTGTTAATATGGAGAAATTAAAAATTATACTGATTATTCTTGTATACCATGTGATAGTAATTAAGGACTGTATTCATTAACTCTTAATTCTTAAAAATGTGAACTCAAAGATGAAATTTCAACAATAAGTGTGAAATCAGCACTATTAAACTTAAAGTTTGGTTATTGGAGACCTTATTTTTACAGTAATGTAATTAGTTATTGTTTAAATCTACCATAAAATTGTTTAGGTGGTTGGTAAGAGGGTGATGAATCATGTTTTTTAGGACATATTGGAGCCTTATGTGAATAATGTGATTTATATGATATCAGAGGAGATGGATAATTTTCTATAAGTTAGAAGTACTCTTGTGGGCCATGTACAAAGAATGATTAAAATATACTAATTATTGTATTAGTTAGTATTTGGTATTTTTATATTCTGAAAATAGGACTTTGATTTCGATTTTCATTTCAGTACAAAGTACAATTAAAGCCATCTAAGAATTTGTTAGGAATTTTTCCTTTTAAAAAATGGGATTAGCAGTTAACTAGAATACAAATTAATCAGCAATTCTAATTAAAATGCTCACTAATTACTTATAAATTATTGCATCAATTGTTACATTTTAACTCAAATTACCTGTTGGACTTGAAAGTACTTTTAATGCAATGGGTTCTCCAATTTAAGCAATGACTTATTCTTTAGATTGCTTTTTATCATATGCTTTTTAACTAGAAATTTAATATGCTAGAATGATTTGGTAAATAATTATGCCATCTCTTTATATCTCTGTTTTTCTTCAAGGTTACTTATTTCTAATTCTTGCATAACGTACTTCTTTTAATATATGTGTTATTACCACTACTTTTATTTATATGTACATTTATTTACAACCAAGTGTTATTGGAGGGCTCGTTCAATTAATCTCATACAGAGAGATTTCAGGATATAAATGGATTTAATCAAATATTTCATAAAGATATGATACATCTTAACATGAACAATGGATGCTTAAACTTTGTTTTCCCATGCTTTTTGTATTTGCAATTTTTGTCCCCATTTACTTTTTCTTTGGACTTTATAGTAATATTAAGAAACTGGATCAAAAGAAAGTTAGACTTTAATGGGGTTATTTATATAATGAATATACTAAATCCGCTTATTTTTGGGAGGTAATTAAAATAGCCCAAAAAGAGTTAATGATCATATCCTTAACATATTATGAAGATAGAATAATAATAAAAGCAACTATTATTTTACTTATTACTGGAGTATATTAAGTATTAAATTAAAAGTATAAGCCTTACAAATAAAATACTTTGAATTAATTAGATTATTATTCCACCAATGTTTGTCTTGCATCAATTGTTTTAGCCATTGGTATCTATATTTCATAATAATCAAATTCCAGTGAAATCTAAATTCCTTATTAAATCATAATAATAGTGCTGAACCTTCATATCATTTATTTATTAATATCTAAAATTGTAGTGGAATTCTATAAAGAAAAAACAAATGATTATTAGGATAAAATTGACAAATTAAGATTTGTTATAAGAAAACTTTTACCATTTTTCAATAAAATAGCATTTTTAAGAAGAATATTAGCTGATCGAGGTGAGTAAAGAATTCGAGTTAGAAAATAATATCTAAAATTAAGAAGCTACTTAATCCCATTAGCTAAAGAAATAATTCTATTAAAAAAATAATAATCTTAAGTTTCTATTGAGAGAAATTTGGATTCAAGTCCTAACACTCATCATTTGAGTGTAAGAAGTCCAAGCTTAGTTCGAGAAGGACAATAATTGATCAGAAATCCTTATTTGGCATGTTCTTTGAATTTCTCAAAAAATATTACAAATTCTTATGCATTTGATAAAATGTAATTAATTTGATTTAATAAAAATTATAGAAAAAATCGATAAATTAATCAATTACAGTAGACCTTCGAAACTCACCATTATCCTATTGTAGGATAAAAAGATCAAATTAAAGACATTCAAGATGAGTGATTTCTATAAGATTAAAGTTAATTTGCATTATTAATATCATCATTTTATATCTTGCAATTTTTCATTTTAACATATCAATTTTAGCATAGATATTATCTTTTTGTTTTATATGTGATTGTTAATTTATAATAAAAGTAGAGGAATTTTTAATTTGACTCTAAATATATTAATAATAAGGAGTTCTAATTTTTATAAATTTCCTCATTAATCAGAACTAAATATATCTAATCCAAATGATAATATATCAAATGAAGATAATTAAAGATATGGAAACATATTAATTTATATTTAATTTTTTATAATTTCTACATATAAAATGATTTAAAATTAAATTGTTATCCTCCCAACTATTTTACATAAATATATTGTTTTTTATGAGTAAAAAGCCTTAAAATAGATGAACATTATTAAATTAAGTATTTACACAATAATATATTTTACTTATACTATATTTATAGAGATTAAAGTTTAATAAAATAAAAACTTCAAAATTAGTATTTATAAATTTTATAGGAATAGGATTCATATAATTTTATAAAAACTAATTCTATTCCAAAATCTTTAAATAAATAATTTTCAATAAAGAGTTTATCAGGTTCCTTTTGATGAAAATTATTAATTTTACAGAATGACTATAAAGAACCAATTTTTAATTTTATTTATAATTGAATAATTAAAATGATTTTGTTTGATAAAGGACCAGATTATATTTAATATTAATTTCAATTATTATTATTAAATTATGGAAACTCTTAATATTTTGAAAGGAAAACTTAAATTGCATATTCTGATAAAAATTGTTGCCTTGTTTTGTATGCCTAGCTTTATTACGATGTGTTTAATCTTTCTTCCAATAACATTCCCTATTTCTATTTTGTTATGTTGGAATTATAAATTTGAAGTATTGTGATTCACATTGTAGATCAAATAACAATTAAAAAAGTAATATTAATCTGCATAGAACTTTTTGTACAATGTCCTCAATTAATCACTTTTATTTGCATTTTAGTACATGCTTAATGAAGTAATAGATATGATATTCTTTATAGCCACTCTTTTAATTAATACGAATAATCAAGGAATCTGGATTGTTTAAACTCCCTATTGTTAGAATGAAGAGATTCATAGAGGATAATTTAAATTTTCTATTGAATTACAGATTGATATAGATTTTAATTAAATTTATGTCTCCATTTTTTGAATCTATCATAAAAATCATAAAAACTAACAAAATATGGGTAATTATTTGATTAAAATTTTAGAAAGTTTTATATTAAATTAATGCAAACTATCTTATTCCCTTTTATATCTGGATTAAAATTGATAGTTTTATCAAAAATGTAGATGAAAAATTAGTAACAATTCCAATCTATGATCAGATAGTTCTCATGTTTTAGTACTAAATATGATATGATAAGAAATTCCATCCTGAATGAGCCATAAACAACAACATAGAATACAATTTCAATAATAAATTAATATGCAATAACTCAATTTTGGAAAAATAAGACTTTTAAAGATCAAATAATTTTAGAACTTGAATGTGGCAATGCTGGTGGTTTATCTTTTATTGCGGAAACATATGGTCCTTAAATATGTATAGGAATTGATTCATCAGAAAATCAGATATAAAACAATATAAAACTTTTTAATTAATAGACTAATTTAAAATTTTAGAATATAACTCCAAATGAGCTAAGATCAATTGAATCAAATAAGGTTGATATAATTATTGGTATTGAACTCAATAAAAAACTAGCCTTTAGAAATATAAATATTAAAAGGTTGTAATTAAAAGATATTTAGTTATTTGGAATCATCAATGAATTTATTGAAGGAAGAAGGATATTTAATTATATCCGATTTTGACACTATATAAAATCTTTCATAATTAGAGGATTATCTTATTAATATTGATGGATTAAAATTGATTGAAAAATAGAATTTAACAATTGGATTGGCTTTAGCTATGTAATTATAAATAGCTTATATAAAATAACATTAAGAAATTTAAGGGAATTGGAGTAAGCAATATTATTAATACTTAGTTTCTAAATTAATAAATAAGAAATTAAGACCTCATGAATAAAGATTATAACAAATAAAAGATAGACAAAAATTATATATGGTATATGTATTAAGAAAGAGTAATTTTTGATTTTATGAACAAAAATAATATTAAAAAAGAAGATATATTTTATTATCCTCATTTATCAAGTGCATTATTTTTTGATCATTTTTTATCTCTCTTATTCTAAAACATTTAGTAATATATCTGACATCTCTGTATTCAAATTGAATAATTTTGCAAAGTTTTTTACTACATCTTAAGGATCTTAATCTTCATAAAGAGCTAATCTTCCTTGTTTTCCCGGACAAATATTTACATCCATAATAACAATTGGTTTTTTTTTTAATTTTGGTCTATTTACCATTTATGGTGGATTAAATGGAGAATTTCTTAGTTTTTCTAATTATTCTCCAGTAGAAATACTAAATATAAGGTAAATTAATACTGATTTAATTTTTCTTTTTATTCTCTTGCTTTATTATTAGCCTTTCTCATTCTATCTACCATTTTATCATAATCTTTAGGAGTGCTTGCAGTTGTTGTTGATATAGGTATACCATCATTTATTAAAGGTGTAAATGTGCATTAATTCAATTCATTTAATTCTTTTTATTCTTAAGTTTTTCTTATAGTTTCTTCTTAATACATTTTTTTTTAATGAATAGATTCTTAAGTATATAATCTACTTACAACATCAATAGTAGAATTTTATGAATAATTTTAATTAATTTTAGGTTAGAATGTGCATTCTTTCATTTTTTCTTCTTATTTTTATAGTTATTATTTTTAAATTTCCCTATCAAATACTTCTTTCTTTTTTAATAGAACATCAATACAACTTTAACTTTGAGTACTTAATTATTTATCCATATATTTTTATCTGTTTTGATAAGCTAAAATTTAAGATTTCTAATTTATTGATGGAGAATATTTTTCTTTTACATCTTCAATTTCTTTTTTTTTATCTGGATAACTAGAAAAAATTTAATTTTATGTTAAAGCTCTAAATTGAATAACTAATCTTTTTGCTTGATCAAATTTTTAAGTGTAATTAGTGACTTCGTAGTTTAAAAAGTCTAATACTAATTATGCTGTTTCTTCAACTGTCAATTTAACTGGATCCATTAAGATTCTAAATACACATAATACCATTTATGTTTCAACTTATTCATGTTCACCATCTTGTGATACTAGATTCCACAACATTTCATGCATCAACATCTAAATATATATATATTTATAAATACCTCTTGTTTACCTCTTAAATTAAGAGGTTAATCGCTATTTATTACTATATTTTAAATATAAATTTACATTCACAATTACTATCAAAGATTATTTCTTAAAATATTTTTAAATCTGTGAATGCTGCTCCAATTTATGCAAAATCAAGTCTTTCACTTTAGAATCTAAATAATGTATCTGAAATTCTTTATTGTAATTAATTGGCAATAATTGCATAAGAATTTTATGTAATCTTCTTCTTGTTTGATAATGCCTTGATCTCTGCATTAATCTATGCATTATAAATATCTGTAAACCTAATCTTATAAAAGTTGATAACGTTGTTCCTATCTATAGAAACGATTGTAAAATTTGGTGTTCTTAATTATACAAATTAATACTTATAATTGTTCTTTCGTTATGGTTGGACTTTGAGACCTCGGTATTATGGTAACTAAATCTGAACGATTTGCTGGTGAAACAGAACGAGATGTTTTTTCTCTAGTTTGAAATAACATTTATAATTAATAACAGAACTTAATCATGTATAGCAAATTAAGTAATAAGTACAAAGTATTAATTACTTATTTTAATCATTTATATTTTATGGATCATATAAATAAAGACAACCTTCATGATTTAAATAAAAAGTTAACAGAAGAAAATTAAAGACTATCACTTCTTGTTTATGGTTTATAACGACAATTACAAAATGCTGCAGTTCAGATCAATTATGTGCAATAAATTGAAGAAAAATTAGAGTTGTTGCAATTTGAGATAATCCAATTAAAAAAAGATAATTAATTATTACAAGAATAAACATTCATATATAATGAGTAATAAATGCAAAAGGATTAACTCTAATTGTAACTTGATAATATGAAATCTGAATATGAGTAGAAGTTACAATTTCTAATTAAAGAAAATAAGAGATTAGGAAGACTTAATAAAGAAATATAAACTAAATAAACTTGCTCACTTGAAACATAAGCATAAAAATTGATTGAATTAGGCAATGATTTAAAAAATAAACTGGAAACTTTCAATTAATAATCAAATAATCTCAATTAAACTATGATAGGTCCCAAAGGTTTGACTAAAAAGATATATGACAATTTGATCTAACAATTGTAAACTACAGATGAAAAGTCATTCTAAATTACACAGTATATAATTATTATTATTCATTTTAGTGCTAAAAGATTACCAATAATATAAGTAAAGGAAGTAAAATAATAACCATACAGTTAAAAAAGCTTGGTTAGCATACCTATCATTTCGAGTATAACGAGTATAAAATGATTACATATTACTTATTAAATTTGATCAATAGTATAATTATCATTATTTAATTTGTATTTGATTAATAAATTAAATGTCTGTTGCACCTTCCTAATTTGAAAAATGCTATAAACATCCATCAAATGATATAGTTCTTTTTTGTATGTCTTTGGAATGCAGACAGGTTTTAAATATATTCTATAAAAATTAAATAGCCCTTATGTAAAGATTGTTGTAAATTACATGTGCAATAACACAATTAAAATGGTACATAAGCTCAATTAGATACAGTTGATAATGTAAGATAGTAATTATTGAATAATGTGCATGAAATGAAAATAAAATTTGAAGAGTACATATATATTCTAATTTTAAAAGAGAGAGAACAATTTTACATCATTTTAATGTAAGTGAATCTCCAGAATTATTGAAATAAATACAAAATAAATTACAAAGAATTAAATAAACATTAATGACAGCAGTCAATGAATATTGTATTTAATTAGAAGAATAAGTTAAATAAAAAATTCATTTACAAAAAGTAATTTCAAGAATTATAATTTTTAGTAATCTCATCCTGGAGAAAGAAAAGATCTTCATCATAAACTTAATTAAATTATTATTAATTTAGATCAATAAGAAAAGATGTTACTCTAACCTAAATATATAAGAGGATGTTTGATGGTAATGAGTGATGAATAAAATCATGATTTTGAATAATTAACATTAGAAGTTGATGATGCTCTTAAAATATATTTATCTAATGCTTTTGATGTTTATGTTCATGATGACAAGTTATAAAAAATAATCTAAACATTTACAGAATATGTTGATATTTATTAGGTAAATTTGAAGGAAGAATTAGAACATTTATCTAAAAAGATTAGAGATAATAGTTAATTAGTCCCTCAAATACCTAAGAAAAATATATAATATCAAAAAATAGCATAATAACCTATACCAATTAAAGAGACAAAATAATATCATTCCATTTATGATGAGAAATTCAGTTCAAATAATTTTGCTAGTTAGTCTCAATTCAAAAGAAGTTATGGAGATAAAAAATAGGATTAATATTATTAAAAAATATATTAATGATTTCTATAATTTTTGTTCTTAGATTAAGTAGAGTATTGTTTATCAGGTTGATTTTCATATTAATAAATATTATTCTATTTTCTTGTTAGAAATAGCTAATAAAATTCATAAAATTTTATGAAAACAATAGTGAAATGATTAATATATTTAAATCTGACTTTGAAAGACATCTATATTCAAGTTCAATACTAAATAATGCAGTTTAGTTAAATGTGACAGATCTGAAATTCCTAATGAAAGGATTCCAAGAATAACAAACTCCAATTTCAATAAGAACGATATTTAAGAAGTTTATTAATGCACTTCCATAAAAGGCTTCATATAGAGTAAAATTAAAGATTTTAGCAGCATGTCATGTATTATTAGATGATATGATGCATGGTGCCATATTTGCAGAGTATGTCAATGATTGGGATGGGTTTATAGATAATAATAATTAAAATGAAGATAAATTTGTAGATTTCTATTTTCAAGTATTGCAAAGATTTGCTAATAGCATTTCTTTGATTAAGATGGTGAAAAGTTAAAAATCATACACAATCAAATGTATTAATTATCATCTAAACTAGAATTTGAAGAATTTTAAAATATGTATTATAAAGCGATAAACTTATTAAATTTTGTATTTTGCCAAACTCCACTATTTAAAGATATTTTAGCATCTAACAAAGAAGAGATTATTTATGAATTATTATTACTTTTATGGAATGATGTCATTGCATTATATCTCTTTCTAGAAAAGTAATTAAAAATTTTATTTTAGATTAATTAAAGAGTTTGAGTTGGAATATTCATCCCTCTCAACTTCAGTTTTCTTTTAAATTTACTAATTACTTCCAGACATATAAAAGATTTAGAATTCTATTAAAGAATTTTATTAATTACATTATTACCATAAAGTTGAAAAACATATTAAGGAACCATATTGGAAAGAAATAAATGAAAAAAAATTGGAAGAAATTCATAAATATAATTAAATTGTTAAAATTTCTACAACTAGACACAAATTATAATAGTAAGTAAGAAGAAAGCATTAAACATTTACACCATAAAATAACTGTTAATAATAATATTTTTCAAATACAACATTAGGTTATCTAAAGAGGCTCTCAACTTCTGAAGATCCATTTGAAATAAGTGTGCAAGATAACTTTGGATATCAATTCACTTAATAGTGACATTTTATATTTATTAATGATATATGATTAATATATTATTCATTTTTTTCCAAAGAAATGAATATGAATTTTTGATTATTTATAATTTTTATTCTGTAAATCTGTATTCCTAATCCATTCCTCAAAATTTAATTTATCAATAAATTATTCTGAGGTACACTTAGTGTTATGCTCAGATATCAGTTCACTAAAGCTTTCTAATATTTGTTATTTTTCAGGACTAACAATGAACTATTTCCACTTTTCCAAATCAAAGGAGAAAATATTTGTTGCAGTAATAATGAAATATTAAATTTCCCAACTGATTTCATAAATTTTTTATTTAAGTGTTTTATTCTGAGTGTTAATTAAAGAATCTTCGAGAAATGATCTAAATAAATTGAATTCATCTGAGATTGTGAAAATTATTTTTTCTGATAATTCTTCAGGTGATGACGTTTCTGGTTAATTGTATTTTGGTTATTGTTCCATGTTCGATTATGTGGTTATTTATGTAGCTTCACAAAACTTTGCACTGCATCCGCAAGATTGACCCATTAATTAAAATAATACTATGAATTAAATTATGTTATAAAAATAATTTGATCTTCATTTAAGAATATAATTGTATATATTAATTGAACAATAAATAAGTGTGTTTCCTTCTTTTCAAAAAGAATTTAAATTACAAAAGTCTATTTATTAAAATGAATCTTAATACAATCTATCACTTTTGTTTTAACTATTATATTCCTCTTTTAATTTCATTATTTATTGATTTACTATAAATGTTTTTAGAATAAGAGTCAAAAAACTAGTTAAAAATATCAACATACATAAAATATTAAGTTTTATAAAAAAATAATATTTTAATAGATTTTATTGAAATTAAATTAAATTATTTATTATATTCAGACCTTTCTTAAGGCATAAATTAGATATAGTGTTTTTCTTTCACTTAACTCCTAAAAAATACGAGAACTTTAAACACCACTAAACTTATTAAAGAAGCTTCTAAAAACTATAATAATAATATAAATTGAATTTACTTATTCCACAATGTCTATTCATCCATTATTATTTTCTCTTCTCATCTAATTTTAAGGCTTAAAGGACATTAATAGTTATGTCTTCTTTTGTTTCCAATTTCTATCAATATAATGATTTCTTATACCAATCCTGTTGATTATAAGTCTTATTCAAATTATTTTAATTCTTCGATAGCTCTGAAATCTGTAATAATAAATAAGCCTCCTGTATTTAGTAATTTTGTAACTTCTTATACAAACTTCTAAAAATTGCCATAACAATGTGATGATTCAACATTGATGATCAAATCAAATGTTTATATATTTAAATTAGTTAAATTTTCAGCATCACCTTGTAAATAATTCAATTTTTAATTTTCTCTATAAGTGGTCTTACAAAAATCAACTTAATTCTAAGAATAATCAACACCAACACAATATTCTGGTTTTAATGATTAATGAATATAATATAATCCTCCTCCTCTTCCACTTCCAACTTCTAATACTCTTTTTCCTTGAAGATCCTTTAATTTCAAACAATTTGTTGCCACCATATGATATAATTAGATACAAAACCTTTCTTCTTCCTATTATTCATCCAAATTGTTAAGAATACGTCCATTTTCATTCAATAATGCATATCCATAATTCATAGCTCTCCATTTATTTAATGGGAAATATGCACACATAAAATCATAAATAAATCCCCATAATAATTTTCTAGGTTTCTCACTCTAATAAAACAAATAGTCATATATTTTATGATAAACTTTTGTAAAAGTGTGTCTGATCTAATAATATTAATTTTTACTTACAGGAGTATATTTAACAATTATAAATATCCCTATTGTAATAGGAAAGAATGTAATTGCAATAACAAGTAAAAAAAAACTAGCAATAATTGCAATTCCAGCGAATAAAAAGAATAGGATTAAACTTTTGTTTTGTGGTGAAAGCAAATTCATATTATGATTATATTAATATTTACTTATTAAATTAAATCTAAAAAGAATAATTTATGTTAAATTTACAATATAAATATTTATAATATATAAATGTCTCAATTATAGAATTCTGTTTTTGGAGTTGTTGTTGACATTTATCGAGCAACTAAACTTGTGTTCATTTTAGACTAATATACAAATATAAATTACTGTAGTTTCTAATTTTTATAATAATTAAGCTTCTTATTTTCTTAGTTCTTCAATAATACTTAATTTATTTTCAGCTTCAATCATATGTTAAGATTTCGAGTGATAATGATCCTATTAATGTTTAAGATATCTTTATTTATGAAAATTGTTAATGCTTTATTAAGCTAACTGTTCTTGAGTAATAATCTATTATTTTTGCTCATATTTTTATTGTTTAAGGTTGTCGAGATTCTATCTAATAAGCTATTCATTTTTTTGAGATTGCTCCTTTATATTCTTGACTTCTTATTATTTCATCTAAAGGAAGTTTTATTAGATATAAATTTTCTCTTATGATTATTGTCTTTTCAGATTGCGTGTTCGAGATACCAAATTCTATATCTACATATTTACTTATTCTTTATGCATTTATTTCTATATTTATGTAATTCATATACAAATTCTCTAAATTATTCATGATCTTCACGAATTCGTGTTAGTTGTTCATTCTTCTACTATTATATTTAAGCTTTCTTCTCTCTAAAAACGAATATAATATCTTAATGATACCTTATTTCATTTTCTAACTTTAGTAGTTAGACTCTTCTTTTTGCCTTTTCTAATTAACGAGAAGCATCAAAAAATTCCTTTTTAGGACTCTACTAAAAATTTTCTAGCTTAGGAGCTGATGAAGAAAAGTAATATGAAGGACTGCCCAAATTAGTTCGGCTCATTTAATATAATAATTATTTAATAATCATAGTGATTGTATCTCTTCGAAATACCTTAGTATTGGATTCATAATCCACTAAAAAATCTTAATAAATTAATACTCTTTATGGTTTCAATCCTGTGAACCATTCAACATGAGCTCCTTTATTTGTTAAGCCAACAATGATATTAGGGTTTTACTTTATTTGATCATAAGGTACTAGAAATTGAGGAACGATGGGATCATCTTTGGCATGCATAATGAGAACAGGAACTTTAACATCTTTGATGTAGTTTCCACATCCAATTGATGAGTATAACTATTCAGGAGAATCAAAATCAAATAATCTTCTTGTAATTAATTCATCAAATTCATAAGTATTTTTGGCCTGTAATGCTTCTTATATTTGTATTCCCTTAGTTTTTTCATTTTCTGTTAATGAATTTTAATGTTATTTGAGGAGCATTTTGAAATTACAAGTGATTGACCAATCATAAATTTTGTTCCTAAATTTCATGATGTTATGAGAACAATCCAAAAGATCATATGGATTGGCAACTGAGAAAATTCTGTTGACTTTACATTTATATCCCTCCTCTCCTGCATATTTCAATAAAAGACTACCTCCAATTGAAAAACCTAATCCAAATATTTATTGACCTTTCTATTTATTTTCTTATAAATAATTGATCACTTCTCTAAGATCATTAGTACATCCATGAAAATGATATTTACTTGTTAATAATTCACAATTAGACACTCCTCTTTGATTAAAACATACTACTTGATACCCAGCATCAGCTAGAGTCTAAGCAGCATGTTTTATATAATTAGTTTCAGAACCACCTGTTAACCCATGAGTAATTAAAATAAGTGGTTTATTTGTAACAACATGTTTATTCTTCCAATCTAGTGCTAATTATCCTCCATCTGATAATTTAAACAGTTATCTTTCAAATTCTGTGTCAAG